TTAAAAGTAGAGAATCAACGACACCAATAGAAGACATCACAGATTTGAAAGATAAATATTTTCTCAGGAGAAAAAGGTGGTACCGAAGATGAAGTGAACTGGTTCTATGTAAGCATGGCACTTGGATTTGTGGTGGGATTCTGGTGTGTAATAGGTCCTCTACTTGTTAACAAGAGATGGAGGTACCTTTTTTATCAGTTTCTGAATCACCTCCGGAACAAACTTGGCAGTCTTATTTTGAATATACTGAGAAGGGTGTGGGAGGCTGATAGAAATTATAAAAGAGTACAAAGTTTCTGCTAATTAAATTTTTTGTTACTTCTTCTTATTGGATTCTGAGACGTATTGTTCATCACGTGCAATCCGTTTCTCATTGGCATTTTCTGTCACAGGGATCATTGTATAAATAGTAATTTCCACTCCTGATGATTTTAACTTTCATGTAAATGTATTTGATCCAAAACACATTCACTTAATTGAGGAATAAAAACTCATAAACTAAATAGGTTGTCAACGTAAAAATCAAATGATGCTGAATCAAAGTAAGCTGCCATGGAAGGATACTAGTATCAGTTTCAGAAACTGTTCCAGTAACGCCAAAAACTTTTATTATACTGAATCAATTGGTTCTCACAAGTGGAATCATAATTGCTTCATAGATACCGATTCTTTTGGAGCACCATATATCTGAAATTATAAAGAAAACCTTAAGAAAATGTGTTTGCACAACTCACCAACTCGCCAATGTGAGACAAATACAACCTACCAACTCATCGATGTGAGACAAATACAACTTCTAACAATTGGAAAGGTAATAAATATAAGATCATGGAATAATTTAACCAATCAATATGTGCAACTCCTTATATTTTAATTAACAAATTCATTTGACGATTAAGATGAGTTTGGATTTTCATTATGTTCACAAAAGTAAAACAAAGACAAAGATACCGGAAAAGAAACCTGGAGGGACCGCTAATAAGTCTTCAGTAATTGATTTATCATAATTAAGTCATAAGTCATAGCAGGTTATAATTATAAACAGTGAGATGTAAAACAAGTCACAGAATGAAGAAATTTTCAACCAGTCCACCTTCAGATTTTGTGAAAAGTTAAGACGAGCAAAATAACAATATCAATCCTTTGATCTCTGTTTCGAACAGAGCTTGAAACAGGGGACTACGTGAAGCAAAGAAATCAAAAGGTAACTTTCCGCATTAATCTATGATGAGTTTTCCAAATTTGTCTTCTTTAATTCACTTGGAGTCTACATTCTACAGAAGTCAATGAAGACTGAAAACCATATCCAACCTCTTCAAATTGGACTGTGAAATGCCATTACCGGTCTCTTGCAATTGATGATATTCTCATTCACATTTTCTATTGCAGGGGTGGTTGAGTAGATTACTGTATAATCCCTGCACTTCTGCATGTAACAGAGCAAATGGTAACATTAATTTCCAGGTAAATACTGTGAGGTCCTACTTTTCAGACTCCTGTTCCAGAAGAGCTGGATAAACGGAGCAATTGGTCATTCATAAGAAGCTCCATGGATGATGGATGCTATAAAGAACATCAATCTTCTTTCTTTCTTTATTTATTTATTTATTTATTTTTTTTTTTTTTGAGGTAAAAGTCAAATGTTAGTTTCTCTCAGGGGAATTTGACAGTAAATTGTCTGCATTATGGTTTCATTCTAAAAGGTCTTTATTTTTTAGATATATGATATATCAAAACTGCTCTCTCATATTTTACTTAGTTATATGGAGTTGATCTGGCATAACCATAGTTTTTCTTTATTCTTTAACACCATATATAGTTTCTCTTTAACAGAGCTCGGAATAGGGGATCCCAAAACGTAGTAATTTCCTAGGAGGTCATAGTGACGACCAAATTTTCTCTTTAGTTCCTAACTTGAATAGGAATTGAAACAAGGATCCGAAACAGATGAATAAAACTTAGAATTAGGACACTATTTCTCTACAACTAAGCAAAAATTACACAACTTTAAATAATTATGAATGGCAAGTTATAGAAAGTTTATACTATGGATGACTTGTCGTTCATTAAATTTTTAATAGATGATATGTTGTCCAACATTACAGATGAGTTGATTAAATTTTTAACAAGTGTTAGAAATGAATAGATGATGAACATCATCAATATTCTCTTTTCTTTTAGGGGTCTCAAGGGACATTAATAAGCTATTTTTGTTTTGGTAACTCGCAAATAGATTGTTAGAGCATTGTTGTCATTAAATTTGTTACACAATGCTCTTGTGGGAAGAATTCCTAAGAATATTGGGGTTATGGGATCATTAATCTCAATTGATTTCTCTGCAAACCAGTTTTACGGTGAAATGCCAGAGTATTTCAAGTTTGTAATGTTGAATCATTTGCACTTATCTTATAACAACTTGAGTGGGAGAATTCCTTTAAGCACTCAACTTCAAAGCTTTTGATGCATCCTACTGTATTGGCAACAAACTTTTGGACCTCCACTTCCAAATTGTACTGACGATACTATTTCAGTACCTATACCTGACCACAAAAATGGAGATCAAATTGACTATTATGAAGATGAAGTGGATTGGTTCTATGTAAGCATGGAGCTTGGATTTGTGGTTGGCTTCTGGAGTTTTATAAGTCCTTTATTAATCATCAGAAGATGTTAGAAGATGGAGGTTTATATATTGTGATTTCTTGGACTCCCTTGGTTACATGTTTTACAGTGTTGTAAAAAAGTGTTAGTAAAAATTTTGTATGAATCTGTGTCAGTTTATGTACTTATATTATCAAATGAAAAGTTATAATAAATGTGGGAACTCTAGTTCGTGTGTGTGTGCAATTGAAGGTTTAATTTGAAGTATAATTTTGCAAACACATAAAAGAATGGATCAACAAAATGATGTTGTCTTGAAACAGAAGATAGACTGTTAGTCTTGTGACCTGAGGTTGTTTTGTGTCTCTCTAGTTCGGAATTAACACACTTGATTTCCGCCATCGATCAACCTTTGCTTGATTTTGGTTAACACTCGTGATTTCATCCATTGATAAAGCTTTTGTTGATTTGGGCTAACAGTGTGATAAGAAGAAGACGTAACAGAGAGGTTAAGTAAGCAAGTACTGCCAGCATTTCTCCATCATTCTTTCACTTCAATGATACATTAAATTTGAAGGAGGGGTTAGAAAATTCAAATAAAACTTTGATACTTTTCTATTGCAACCATTATTGACTAATTAAATCAAAGTTTCATATTTTGTCCTCTTTAATTGACTTGAAGTCTACTCTGTTAATTGGACCACTAAGATTAGAAGTATTTGCATCTTTTCCAAAATGTGTGATGAGAAGTTCCATGGATGATGGATACTATAAATAACATCAAACTACAATGATGGAAAAGATGGTAATGAATATGAAGTGGACTGGTTTTATGTAAGCATGGCACTTGGATTTACGGTGGGTTTCTGGGCTCTAATAAGTCCATTACTCGTCAGCCAATAATAGTTTTAGTTTTGGCCTGAGTAAAGACGTGTTGATTAATCTAATAAAACCATGTTACTAGCCATAAAAAGTCAGTGTAGGACATATATTTAACCAGTAGTCACCACTAGTTCTCTATCAATCCAGCTTCAACTATTAATTCACACCAACATACACGCACTAGTTAGTGTTGATTCGTATTTTGTCCTCCTTTAACTGACTTGGAGTCAACTAGAAGTAATTGAAAACTGAAAATGATATGCAACTTTCTGAGTTGGACTTTGATATGCTATTGTTGATAGCTTGCAGCTGATAATATTATCATTCACATTTTCTATCTAACAGGGTTCAGTTTGTGGCGGAGATGATCATATATATTTACAATCAAGCATCAAATAATAACTCACTCCAATTAACGTACATGAAATGCATAAAGATCCTACTCTTGTGAAAGACTTGTTGCTAGTGTCATATTTCCAAAATCAAAATCTAAACTTGGAACAAGTATAGCAATTTAATTGAATCAATCTCATAAAAATTCAAGAATTAATATAATAAATATTCAATGCAATCCAAGAAAGTGTGATGGTATGATCAGTTGAATCCTTAAGTTATCTAGTATTTGTTCATGTATCTTTTATTTGCTGTGGAACCTTTATTATTGTGAAAAATATAAAACATATTCCATTATTTTACTTAAAAATCAACACATTGTATGAAAAGAAGAAGAGGTAATCGAGAGGTTAAGTAAGCAGGTATTGCCAGCATTTCTCCATCATTCTTTCACTTCAATGATATATTATACTTGAAGGAGGGGTTAGAAAATTCTATTGAAACAATACTATATTAGTTGAAGACTTCCAGAAATCATTGAAATGTTCTATATCTTTTCTTTCTCCAAAATTGTGTGAAATGTCGAAATGGACAGCTAGAAAAATCATAAGTTTCATATTTTGTCCTCGTTAATCGACTTGAAGTCTACTCCGTTAATTGGACCTACTAAAATTAGAAGTATTTGCATCTTTTCCAAAATGTGTAATGAGACATTATTGATCATGTGTAAATGGTACCACTTATTTTGTTTTTTGTTTTCTTTCTTTAACGGAGCAGTTTTTTAAAATTAATTATTTTTCGGGGCCAATATTATGAGGCCACAGGGTCCCACATCTTTGAAATTTTGATGCAGAAGTAATTATTATTTCGGGTCAATTGACTATGAGGTTATGGGGGTCCCTTATCTTTGAAACAGGGGATCTTGGAGCCACGTGGCCCACTGACATCTTTAAAATCTTGACGTTATCAGTAAGGATCAAAGAAAGTTCCTGCCAGTTGTAAAATTGATTTCTGGACAAACTAGTTGAGTGGTTCAGTGGATCCTGAGATAGGTGGAATACTGAGAACAGGGTTTACCTAGCATATCATATGTGAACAGAAACTCTATAAATAGCTGGCCACTAATAATAATATTCTCATGCACAATTCCTTTTCCAAAATCTTTTCCTATGCAAACGAAAACCATGAGCATTTTTCTTGCCTTTCTTTTCATTGCCACAACACTCAACATTAACTTCTGCGGAGGAAGCTCTTACCGGGGTTGCATTGACAGTGAGAGACAATCTCTTTTAAGGTTCAAGAAAGATCTGATAGATCCTTCCAACCGGCTTGCCTCTTGGACTTCTGGTCATGTAGATTGCTGTACATGGTCTGGCATTTTTTGTGACAACTTGACGGGCCATGTCCTTGAGCTAAAACTTACAACTCCTCCGTTGGAAGGTAATGGACCTGTTTCTGAAGATGCTGCTGAATCATTTTCCAGGTCAAAGCTGGGTGGTAAGATAAATCCCTCTTTGCTTGATTTAAAGCATTTGCGCTCGTTGGACTTGAGCTATAACAATTTTGATGGTCAGATTCCAATTTTTCTTTGTTATATGCACAATTTAAGATACCTTGATCTTTCTCATAATCTTTTCCAAGGTATAATTCCTCACCAGCTAGGAAACCTCTCTAATCTGCAATATCTTGCCCTCGATGGAAATTTAGGTATAATTCCTCACCAGCTCGGGAACCTCTCTAATCTGCAATATCTTTCCCTCGATGGCAGTTTAGGTAAAATTCCTCACCAGCTCGGAAACCTCTCTAATCTGCAATATCTAGCCCTCGGTGGCAGATTAGATGTTGACAATTTAGGGTGGTTATCTAGTCTTTCTGTGTTGAAATACCTTCTGTTGTATAGTGTCGATCTCAGCGAATCCTTTGATTGGCTGCATGTGATCAATACACTCCCTTCTCTAGTAGTGTTAGAATTGAGATATTGTGGAATCCATCACTTTCCTCAACAAGCCATTGTAAATTTTTCGTTTCTTGAGGACCTTGATCTGAGTCATAATCATTTTGAAGGTCCAATTCCTTATGGACTTCAAAACTTGACCTCCCTTAAATATCTTGATTTGTCTGACAATAATTTCAATTCTTCAATACCTAATTGGTTTTACAGACTTAGCCGTCTCCAGAGACTTTTTCTTCATGATAATTGGTTGAAAGGCACATTAAGGATTTTGGGAAATCTGACATCTATAGAAGAGCTTGATCTCTCATCAAATGGATTTGAAGGTGGAATCCCAAAATCAATGGGACAACTTTGCAACTTAAAGTCAATCACTATCTCATCTGTCAATTTAAGCCAACCAATATCTGATGTCCTTGATATTTTTTCTGGATGTGTTTCAGACGTACTAGAGATTTTGGAATTGCATGAAAGTCAAGTTTTTGGTCAATTTCCTGATAGACTTGGACAATTTAAAAAGTTAAGTAGTCTTCATCTGTATGGCAATTCTATTTCAGGTTCTTTTCCATCGTCTTTAGGAGAACTAACGTCACTCCAATTTTTTGATATTAGCCATAACAAATTGAATGGAACTATTTCTGAGTTGCATTTTTCCAATCTGACAAGATTATTAGAATTTGCAATATCTAGAAATTCATTAATGTTCCATGTCAGTCCTCATTGGGTTCCTCCTTTTAAACTTGAATCTCTAGGATTAGCATCTTGTCATTTAGGACCTAAATTTCCATTGTGGCTTCGTTCACTAAAGCATTTAAAATATCTTGACATATCCGATTCAAGAATTAAAGATGATATCCCAACTTTTTTATTCAAAATTCCTTTCCTTACTATAAATCTCTCTCATAACCAAATATATGGGCAGATTCCAAATTTAACAGAGTCAACTCAACTTCAAGTGCTTGACTTGAATTCAAATAATTTATCAGGTTCAATGCCTCTTTTACCTTTCAACTTGCATCTACTTGATCTTTCCAACAATGTTTTGTCAGGCTCAATTTTCCATTTCTTGTGTCATAAGATGAACGAGTCAAAGCCCATGATGCAAATTCTCATCCTTAATAACAACTTTTTGTCAAAAGTTATACCTGATTGTTGGATGAATTTGAAAGGCTTAAAAGTCTTGAATTTAGGTAACAATAGATTCACTGGTAAGCTTCCAGCTTCTATTGGGACTTTAAGTTCTCTTGAATGGTTAAACCTTCGCAAAAACAACTTTTTTGGAACAATTCCTGTGTCACTCAAAAATTGTACACAGATGGTGTCGCTTGATTTGGGTGAAAATGAGTTTGTTGGAAATCTCAAGGTGTGGGTTGGAGAGAAATTTTCAGGAATGAAGATACTCAACCTTAGATCAAATAAGTTTTCTGGCCATTTACCAAAAGAACTTTGTAATCTTCGTTCTCTGCAAATCTTAGACCTTGCAGATAACAACTTCTTTGGAACCATACCAAGATGCATCAATAACTTCAGTGCCATGAAGACAAAGAGCTCTAATGAGGAAAACAATATGAATTATGAACCTGATGCATATTATGGTTCAACATATTTGGAGAGTGAACTACTTGTGAAGAAAGGTCAGATGGTTGAATACAACACAATTCTGAAGTTCGTGAGAGTTATAGACCTTTCAAAAAATAATTTCTCTGGAAAGATTCCCATGGAAGTGACAAATCTTTCGGAATTGCAGTCATTCAACCTGTCACACAATGATTTTACTGGAAGAATTCCGGAGAACATTGGTGCTATGAGATCTCTAGAGTCTATCGATTTCTCTAGAAATCAACTTTCAGGTGAAATCCCAGAAAGCCTTTCAAATTTGACGTTTTTGAGTAACTTGAACTTATCCAACAACAACTTGACCGGAAGAATTCCTTCAAGCACTCAATTACGTGGTTTTGATGCATCATGTTTTACTGGAAACCAACTTTGTGGACCTCCACTTCCTAATAGTTGTACTGTGACTATTCCAACACTCAACAATCAGAACAGAGGAGAGAAAGATGGTAATGAAGATGAAGTGAACTGGTTCTTTGTGAGCATGGCACTTGGATTTATTGTGGGATTCTGGAGCTTTATAGGTTCTCTACTCATTAGCCAAAGATGGAGGTACTTGTATTGTCAATTCTTGAATAGCCTTCAGGACAAACTAGGCAGTGTTGTAAGAAAATGTTACTAGAGTAGTTTTTTTTCTCTCTCCTATTTTTTTTTTTTTTTTTTTTTTTTTTTTTTTTTTTTTTTTGGTCATTTGGAGCTTACTTTGTATGTACCAAAAAAGGATGTGAGTAATGGTTTGAACGTTTGTCATGAAATGATATTTGCTATTATTTTTACAACCAAAAAGATTATGTTAATGCATTCATTGCTTTAATACATTGACCAGTGACTAGAATTGTTGTAGAATGGTTAAATTTTTTGTTTTGATAGGGCATGCAAAAATTGAATAGATTACATAAATATTAATAAATAAAAATTTAGAGGCAAAATCTAATAACAATGGTAGATAAAAAGTGAATATCTATCTAAAGGAAGAGTAATATTACTCTTACAAAGTTTATATACAAAATTAAGTATATAAAATGAAGATATATATATTGACATTGATCTATCTCCCTTTAATGAGTTTACTTTACATTTTCACTCTCCGAACCTTAATACAGCACATCACTTTGTATACTAGACATAAAAGAGAAAATCTAGGGTTGTCTATGACAATGTAGTAAACAATTCACAAAACAGAGATAGATATTTGAAAATCCAATACATTTAGAATAGAGCTTCATAATAGACGTAAAAATAACAATTATCAAATAATCCAAAAAAAAAAAAAAAAAATTATTAATGCTATGCATTTTCAACGCAGCTTAACCAATAAATGATCTGAATTTTGCTTAGGTAAAGATTAGATCGTGAGAGGATCCTACTTCATAATAATTATCTGATCATTAAGGATCTGATTTAATCATTAATTTATTTAATTATTTAGTTTTTCTAGGACATGGCATCTTTGATTCATTCTGGTGAAACAATGCACTGGTAGTGGGAAACTTAAGAGAACACTAATATATATAATCTACTTGCAGTTCAATCACTGTTGATGGGAGACTTGTATAAATTATAAAAGTCTATAATTTTTCTACTAATGAAATTATTTGCTATGTTCCAAATTTGGAGTCTAAGATATTCATCAAAGCTGTGTTTGCATATTAAAGTGAAATTCTTTTAATTTCTCAAATATTTTGGAAAATAACCACAAAAGAGTGCTTCTGAAACTTATATTTTCCAATATTTTCAGTAAATATATACTCCTGTTCAATTTTTCATATGATTTTACTGCATAAATTTTGCATTTGATTGTCTTATTTGTATGGGATATTTTAGTCTTTTGACAATTTTTCCACTATCAACTAACCGGAATTAATTATTGTCTGTTAATTTCAGGACTATTTTGCAGGTGACAAATCGAAGTATCCTGAATTGTTACTTTCCTACCGTTCAAAAGAAGTGTGGCTTTATTACAAAAATTTGGGCTCCGTTTGGTTCATTATTCTGATAGTTTTTAGAATAATCTTTTGAAAAAAGTTAAATTGGGTGGGTATTACGATGTAGAATTTGAAAATTAACAAAAATATCCCCTATGTTTGTTTATTTACTAAACACCCCTATAATAAAATATTAAAAGTTAACAAAAACACCCCCAACCCACCCATTAAATACGGACAGCCAGCCACCACCGCCGAAGGGTGGCCAGAGTATTTTTGCAATTTCGAAAAAAAGTATTTGGGGGTGTTTAGTTAAATTAACAAATTTAGGAGGTTTAAAAGAAATTGAAAAATGTAGAATAATATTTTGGGAATAATGACATTTTACTGTTTAACTTTTTTGGGAATATTAATAATAGTATTCCCAAAACCGAACCAAACGAAGGCTTATTGTTCAACTATTGTCGATATTTAAAAAATTATATTTTAATTATCACTAAACTATGAAAATAATAAACATTGACATAAAAATATGTTGAAATTTACAGGTTGTCCAGTTTAGAAAACGTAAGTTCTAAAGTTACTAGAACATTCACAGCAAGCTAGAAATATAAAGAAATAAGAGCATACACACATATTTATAGTGGTTTAGTAATCAGATTGATTACCTACACCATTCTTCAGGGTAGTAGAAAACATACACTATGAAAAGAAACCTTACAGAGTTTGTGAGTTAGTTTTACACCAAGAATCCAATGACAACTCCCCTCTATAATCACCACAGATTGCTCCCATGTGTCTAACGCCTATCACACACAAATACAACATTAATAAGTAATTTATACAAGAAGAAAGAATAAAAATTAGTTAAAAGAAATCTTATCACAATCGTCAATCTCACCATGTGAACACCAAAGCTCCACCTTGATGATTCCCTCAACAACTTTCTCTCTTTTGTAACCAGGAGAGAACAATCTAGAGAACAAACAAAAGGTGTCGACCTAAGGCACAAACAAAATATCCCAAATAATAATTTCCAGTAGTGTCCCTTCCTTTCTTCTAAATTACCTCTGACCAAAGTATAAAAACTTTGACTCCACATAAGCATAAAATGGATGCCATATCAGCACAAATCTCCACCTTGGCATCTGATTTCTTCATCCCATATTGCCTTGAAAATTTCCTTCATTCTTACTCAATCTGGAGCAGGCTCTTGAAGAGCCTTAGTTTATCTAAAGTAACAACTTTGGTAAACATATCTGTTGGATTCTCTTTCCCAATAATCTTCCCCACCTTACTAACCTTTTCTTCAATCATATCTCTGATGAAGTACAGCCTCACGTCAATGTGTTTGGATCGTTCATGAAAGGTTTGGTTTTTGCATAGGAATATAGAATTTGGCTATCACTCTTGATTGGAACCTAAGCCTGATTGAATCCCAACTCACTAAGCATTCCCTTAAGCCAAATTGCTTCATTGGCAGCTTCTGTAAACGCCACATACTCAGCTTTTGTAGTTGATAGAGTCACAATAGCCTAAAAATTAGCTTTCCAACAAACCAGATTATTCCATAAAGAGAAAGCAAAGCCTGTCATGGATTTCCTATTATCAGGATTTCTAGCATAATTAGCATCTACACACCCCACAATGAAATCCAGCAAGTTTTTCTCTTTACTATACACAATTCATGTTGACATTGTTCCCCCAATATACCTTAGGATCCATTTCACTGCTTCCCAGTGAGGTTTTCCAAGATTACTCACGAATCTGCTAACATAGCTTACTACAAAGGCTAAGTCAGGCCTTGAACAGACCATAAGATACATTAGACTTCCTGTTGCATTAGCATAAGGGGTATTAATCATTTCCTTTCCCTTATCCTTTGAACTAGGACATTGATTAAAGCTTAATTTAATATGTTGGCCCATTGGTGTTTTGACAAGTTTACAATCAAGCATACTAAACATTCTAATAACTTTTTTAGCATACTCCTTTTGAGATAGAATAATCCTCCCTGTTTTCCTATCTCTCTCTATGTTCATTCCTAGGATTTTCTTAGCCTGCCCCAAATCTTTCATTTCAAATTGTTTGTTCATTTCTACCTTAAACTTAGCAATTTTAGCAGCATCTTTACAAGCCAACATGTCATCAACATAAAGTGCTAAGTAAAGATAGCAATCATCATATAAACATTTAAAATAAAGGCAACTATCAAACTTACTTCTTTTGAAACCAGAAACAATCATGAAATTGTCAAATTTTTCATACCATTGCCTAGAGGACTGTTTTAGTCCATACAAGAACTTCTTTAACAGACATACCTGATTTCTTGCACCTTTTTCAAACATTTTAGGTTGCTCCATTAGGATTTTTTTTATTCTAGATCACTATTCAAGAATGTTGTTTTGACATCAATTTGCTCTAATTTAAGTTCAAATTGAGCTACTAAGGACAATAGGACCCTATTGGTAGTATGCCTTACCACAGGTGTAAAAATTTCAGTGTAATCTACCCCTTCAACCTGTGTAAAACCCTTGACAACCAACCTAGCTTTAAATCTAGGAGCTTTTACCCCTGGAATTCCTTCCTTCCTTTTGAAAACCCATTTGCACTTGACAACTCTACTCCCTTCAGGTTTCTTAATAAGAACCCAAGTCTTATTCTTCATCAAAGATTCATATTCCTCTTGCATAGCTAACCTCCATTGCTTAGATTCTTTACTTTCCATAGCTTCCCTAATAGTCTTAGGTTCATCTTTTATTTCCTCAGTAGTTTGAAGTGCAAAGGCAACCATGTTAGCTTGTGAATACCTCATAGGCAACCTAATTTCTCTCCTTTCCCTATCTCTAGCTAACTGGTAGTTTAGCAGTTCAGATTCTTCATCATAAACTGAATCATTTTCATTCTCCTCTAACACAAATTCTTCCTCTTGAGTTTGTAAATCTCCTTGCTAATATTCTGGTTACAGATTACCAGAATTGTCAGAAGGAGCTTCCCCATTCATTTCAAACCTAATTACTTCATAATTCAACTTATCAGTCTTTTCATTCAAGCCATTCAATTCTTCTTCATTGAATCTGACATCCCTACTGATTATGCATCTTTTCCTAGTGACATCCCAGCACTTATACCCTTTTACCCCATCAGGATACCCTATGAAAATAAAGCTAATGGCTTTAGGTTGTAACTTATCAGATTTGTCATGCACAAAGAAAGTGCAACCAAAAACTCTCAAGCTACCATAATCAGCTGGATGTCTTGTGCATCTCTCAATAGGTGTTTTAAACACTATAGCTGAGGGAGGAATTCTATTAATCAAGAATACTACTGTATTAGCAGCTTCAACCCAGAACCTAGCGGGAAGTTTGGCACAAGAAAGCAAGCTTCTAACCTTCTCCAATGTAGTTATATTCATCCTTTCAGCTAACCCATTTTGTTGTGGGGTATATCTAACTGTCATATTCTTAAGATTCCACTATCCTTACACAGATTATCAAACTCCTCATTTATGAATTCTAAACCATTATCAGTCCTTAATTTCCTAATTTTCATTCCTGCTAGGTTCTCAATCATAATTTTCAATTCCCTGAACTTACCAAATGCTTCTCCTTTATTTTTCAAGAAATAGATCCATACTCTCATAGACTAATCATCTATGATGTTAATGAAATACTTACAACCTCCCAAAGATGGATAT